ATACTAGTGGTGATACTATAACTTTGAAACTACTCTGATGAAATTATTCAATTTAAAGTAGCCTACCTCACTTTTTATCTTTGAATTTACAGTTAAAGCAAGCATACCTTAAACTTAAACTTTCGAAAAGTCAAAATTTAAAGTATATTTTTCAGAAAATAAATTGCAATAAATCTTTCTTTTGTTAAAATTTGTTTTACTGAAAAGAAAATAGTTCTAAATAAAAAAACACTGATAAAAAAATCTGTTTGAACTTTAACTCTTTGGATCGTGAATTTTAAACATGCTTTTTTTTACTTGAAGGTGAAGTTAAACTGGCATTCTTAATAAATGCCTGGCTTATTAATCAAAAATAGATCTGGAATGAAAGGTGCTCTCTTAACTTGTAATCAAATTTTGTCGAGCTCACATATATTTTCGAAGAAAATAAGGAGTGTAAGTTTAAAAGCGAGGTTTTTACGACTCCCCACCCCCTCAATCCTCCCCATTACAGCTAGCCACGATGCATTGCAAGCACATGCAACAACTAAATAAGATATTTTTTCTACCGATCGATTGTCTTGTTTTACATTTCAGACTTTACGTATTGTGTATTAGTTAAATTAGACGAAAAATCATATGTGAGTTCCACATTTAGCCTCCAGGCTATGGCGGTACGGCCGCAAACCACGGGAAATCACTGGAAGGTGGAAGCAGTATTCCGGTTGGAAATTCCTGGTTTTTTCCGGTGAATTCCGGTCAACTTCCATTGCTTTCGGGCAAGAACCGACAGCAAATCATCGGGAAAAACTCCGAAAATTTTCCGAACGGAATACTGCTTCCAGGTTCCAGCGATTTCCCGTGTTTTCCTCCGAAATGCGGTGATTTTCCCGCATCTTTTCAGCCGGTTCCTACAGTAACCCGTGACCGGAACGATCGATCTGGATCCCGAAGGGGTTGCACTAACAAACGTTTCTAATCGAATCTGGTGATCACTCCGAAGATACAACATACTTCTTTCCTTTTGTGCTAGACAAGTAATGCATTTTACATGTTCTTTCAAGTATCTAAAAAAGATTTTTAAACAATTAATTTATAAGGGTCTCTGATTACTAGAGACTCGCTAGTAGTGTGCAGCATCGTATGGTATAATGAATGAATGGATTAAAGTGTTTATATTGCTTCTTTTGTTAGATAACTTGACCATTAACAATATCTTTTCCTTTTCACTCAATTATATGCATAAAAGTCTTCTTCTAATCGGACAAAATGAGAGTGTGGGTGGGGGTGGGGTGTGGGCATGTATACCTTCTATCACCGGGTCTCATTGGATCCTCGGATTAGGGGTGGACCGTTGATGCTAATTTGAGTTAATTAAGTAGTTTTATTTAACACTTAATATTAAATTAACGTAAAGTACCACCCCTAATCCACGCCATTATGTCCTATTCTTTGAGTTTGTATAATATAGAATGCTAAATTATAGTTTTTGCCTCAATCGTTTCCGCTTCACTGCCACTTTCCAATTTGCATTCTCGAGAGTGAATGTGTGCTCGTTGTCAGCCGTAACCAATTTTTGTTTTTATTATTTCAATTAAGAATGATCTACAATTTCATTGCATAGCAAGTAATTATTTTTTCTACTGCTGTACATTGATTCGCATCGGTGTTCTGTTCTGTTCTTTATACCAGGCGCAGAGTATCTAAAATAGAAGAGAATGATAGACAATATGGAATTGAGGGCGACATCAAATGAATTCTCCATCAAAGTTATGCTTGATTCCGGAAGAGCAACTCGAATTTTTAAAATGAAGAAGAGCAACATGTTTTCACTTTGGAAAGAAAAATTATGAAAAATGACTACGATAAAATCTTCACGCAATTAATATAATCGATTGATCTAGTCATACCAGATGAAAGTCATGGTAGAGAAAAAGAAAGGGAAGAAGGAGAGGAAGAGTTATTGATATATTTAGTTTAATTTTTCGGTCTGAACCAAGGATATCACTCTCATTTTCAGTTCTTATAATAACCATTTTTGGCAAAGCTTCACTAGCACTATTCATTCATCGTCGATTACTTAAAAGAGAAAAGCACTGGAATTCATTCTCAATTTGAGAAATACATCATATCATTAGTAATAATAATGTTCAACGCTCGACATCCATATCGACCCCGTCTACCAAATCGTCCTATCGTCGGCTACGGGCAGCCAATATCACCGATTAATCTTCTGTGGAAATCGACTTGGCCATACAAGATCTCTAACATCATCGCTACTTTGTTGATACTGCTTGCACTCGTATTGATTGCTCTCGAAATTGCATTTGTGGCTAAAATGGGAGGAGCAAGCACCGCAAGTGCATATACATCAGGAGTTGGTATTTGGTGTGGAGTTTTCATCCTTATTGCTGGTATTGTCATCCTTGTTATTAGTAAGTAATGCCCATATGTTAACATCAGAGATGATTATTTTGTTTGTCTAACCTAGATTGTGTCAAGAACGTACATATTTTGACATTGGTATCGTTTGGTTTCACTATTTTAGCCACTTGTTTTGCGATCATTGCATTTTCCATCAATGCTTATAGAGTTCAATTTTCCGTTCAATACAACCTTTTCTCGATTAGCGGCTTTCCTGAACCAAGCCTAGCAGCCGCAGAACTGGCTGTCGCTATTGTCGCAT